AAAAGTCAGGCAGCTGCCGAAGGTTAACTAGGTCACAGTGAGAGGACAAAGGGGCCAACGTGAAGGGAGGCAGTGGAGCACCAAAAATGATTATGACCGCAGGAGATGGAAACGTGCTAAGCATCTAAAAATCCATGAGTTCTTAAAGATTTTAAACACACACACACACATATACTCTCTCCCATTGGATGTGTGGAGGTGGCTGGGCACCAACTCATTATTCTAAAACATTTCATTACTATACCCTATGGCCCAGACCCAGCCCACCTCCTATTGTTATAAGGCCCGCAGGCCAAGAAGAGTTTTTATGTTTTTAAATAATGAGAAAAAATCAAAATAATATTTTGTAGCATGTGAAAATATATAAAATTCAAATTTTCAGTGTTCACAAATAAAGTTTTATTGGAACATAGCCACCTTTAAGTATTATGTATGGTTGCTTATTTGCTACAATTACAGAACTGAGTAATTGTGACAGAGACCACATGGTCTGCAAAGCCTAAAATACTTTTACTATCTGATCTTGTACAAGAAAAGAGTCCTGACCCCTGCTGAGAACATTGATAAATGAAAGGAAAGAATCAAACATTTATTTTACCTTTTATAAACTTCCTTTCATGGAAATCAAACAGTTGATGAGGGAAATTGAAAAAAAATTTAATAAACACAGAAGATATCATAGAATTAGAAAATCTCTATTTTTGCAACCGTCATGAAAAACTGGTTAGCAGTGTTCACCAGTGGATTCTAAAACCCCAAAGTGAAAAGTTGATGGAAAATTTTTTAAGTGGAAGAATCAGACACCTTCTGAATCTGTTGGTTAGTCATGGCATCACTAAAAGTTGGGGCAAGCAAATATTTGTGTATCTCATAATATGACATGAAAAATGCCAAAAAAAATGGCTTTTGACCAATAAAATGGACCTAAATACTAGTGTATAAGAAATAACAAACAGGGGCAGAAGAACAAGTTAAAGGAGCAATCTGTCAACCAAACCTAGAATGTTGGGTGTTACACGAATAAAAGACCTGGTTTCTCTAAGAAATAAACTACATTAAAAAAGGGTTTCTGCACAATGTTGCTCATGTGAAATCTGAGCATAAGATTGTATATAAATACCTTAATAAAAAAAAAGTGGGGGGGGTTCTGTTAGAGAATAAAATAAACTTAAGGGACATGACAAATGCAGTGATAGACCATGTTTGGACCCTAGTTTGAACAAATCAACTCTAGAAACACATTTTTTGAGAATTCTGATGAAATTAAATATGTACTCCTTACTCTCCCATGTTTAGTATAAGCTATTTCCTGCTACAGACTCATGATTTCTGCTGAGTGCCAGGCCTGGGAACCATAGCTACCATTTTCTTGAACATGCCTAAGCAACTTTCACTATTGTCTATTTACCTCAAAGATGTCTAAAACTTCAAGGCAAGAAGCAGCTTAGAGAACAAATGCAAAGCATTTAAGTAAAACACACAGAACAAAAATGACGTCTATTTTAAAAATGACATTCATTTTATCATAGGCATAGGAATTCCACATTTAAGCCTAAAATTCTCACAGAGAATAATACCTAGGTATACTTACTTGTGTTGTTAGGGACTTAGAATTAAGTAGACCAAGACCATGCTGATCTGTATGTTGAGAACTTAGGTTTGTTGTATTATTTTTTAAGAGTAAAATAAGTTCAGTTTACTGTGACAGTCATTATAAATAATATATATCTATAGAGCCTGATAATGATATAATCAGATAAATTTGGTCATGCCGTGCTTGCTCTCTGGCCATTTCTAGGCTTGTGTACTATTTCTATATACATCTAGAATAACTTCATTTCTGGGCTTACACATAATTAACACATACACTAAATGAATCAAATGGATTAGAAATATGAAAGACAAAACCTTTAATAACAGGGGAATATTGTGTTAACGTCGGGAAGAGGAAAGGATGTCTTAAACAAGGCATAAAAAAACATAACAATGGTAAAAGGTGGTACATTCTTTTCATTAGTGTAGTTGAAATTCTCCTTTTTTTAGCCATAAGCTACATAAGAAAGCAACAAACAGGGAGGAGTTACTTGTAACACTGACAAGGGATTAGTTTCCAGAATACATAAAGAACTCCTATAAGTCAGTGAGAAAAAGGCAACGAACCCAATAGAAAAATGTATGAAAGATAGGAATATGCATTTCTAGAAAGAAGAGATGTAAATGACCAGAAACATATGAACATATGTTCAACCTTATTTTTAATCAGGCAAGTGCAAATTAAAACCTCAGTAAGAAACTACTTCACAGCTACTAGGAATGGCAAAACTTTAAGAATATGAATGTTAAACCTGAGTGTTAGCAAGACTGGAGTAATAGAGACTTATACTCGGCTACTGGGGATGTAAATTTGTACAACTACTGTGGGAAAAATCTGGAATTATTTATTAAAATTAAAGTTGTGCATTGCCTGTAACCAGAAATTATATTCCTAAGTATATGCTCTATGAATATGTAGAAAAATATTCATAGCAGCACTATTTGTAATAGAAAAATCTAGAAACAATGTAAAGGTCCATCAACAGTAGATGAATAAATTATATTAACCCAGTGCAAATACAATGGTCATTGAAAATGAATAAAGTTACACCTAAACACATCAGCATGGATGTATTTCAAAAAAAGCATTGAGTGAAAAAAGCATGTACAAGAAGAATGTACTTTATTTCCATTTATATGAAGCTCAAAAAATAAGTAAAACTAAAATATTATGTCATTTAGGGATATAGCCACATATGGGAAAACCATAAAGACAAGCAAGGGAATGATTAACACATAATTTAGCATTGTGAGAGTAGGTGGAGGGGAAGGAATGTAATTGGTGGGGAAGATTCAGGTCCTGGTGCTGGCAATGTTACAAAATACTGCTAATGTTATCGGTTATTTCTGCATGGTGAGATAAGAGGTGATTTTAATTTTCTTATTTTCTGGTTTTCCGCATTTCTGTATGTGTGGTTTTTAGACAGTGTTGTGTGTGGGGTTTCTCTAGAGCAATGTTTCTCAACTGGTGGTGATTTTGCCACCCCTCCCCAAAGGAGACATTTGGCAATGTCTGGAGACACTATTTGGTGAGGCCAGGGATGCTATTAAACATCCCACAATGTACAGGACAGCCCCCCAAACAAAGAATTATCCAGCCCGAAATGTCAGTTGCTTTGAGGTTGAGAACCCCTGGTCTAGAGCCACACTGTGTTTGAATTTCACCTGTACATCTTACAGGCTGTATGAGTGTGGGGAAGTTACTTAATCTCTGTGTTTCCTTGTCTATGAAATGGGCTGATAGTACTATCCACCTTACAAGATTGTTGTGAGAATTAAAACATTTAAAGTACTGAGACCAGTTCCAATCATATAATAAATACTTGATAAATACTAGCTTTAATTATTTTATTTTAAAAGTTTAATTTTTTGTTGAATATATTCAATTGATTGAAGTTGTTAGTTGATAGAGAGAAGCATGTTGAAAAGGAGCTGTTATATTAAAAGAAAATTATACAAAAACACAAAACCCTACTCTAAAATGTGGCATATAAGAATTTTGAATGAGAAAGACCTTTATAAGCAATAATGACATGCTATTATAATCTGTATCTTCTCCATACTTAATCAAAATTCCCAAACAAGAAACCAGAGGGTTGAACATAAACTGTGTATGAATTAGTGCTAATCTGATTTTAAACCATAAATATCTGAACTCAAAGAATTGTGGTCTAATAATTAATTTCTGATAACCATTCTACATTTTAGTACACAAACTGATGTTTCTCTTATTCTGTATAACAACCTTTCCAGAAAGATCCTTGGGGAGTCAATATCTTGACTGGATCTCATGTAAACTTGGGTGTCTAAGTAGATGTGTCTGTTAAGTTTTGACAAGATGCAATTTTTTTTTCTTGATGTATCAAGTGTTCTAGAAAATAAGCTATTTAAAAATATGTAAAATTTATAGTGAAGTTTCTTTAAGCTTTAGCAAATTAAGTGCAATTTATTATGCATGTACATTCAACTGTAACATGGAGTATTTCCCTCCAAGCAAATCAAGAATTTAAAATGTTTTTTAAAAATTTCAAAATTTGTATGTCCACAAAGAAGTAGGTTGAAGCAATGATGTTAAATAATTACTATCATTAGTATAGTTCCATGTAATTAACAAAATTCCACCATATACATGGTCACAATAGAGCTTCATAGAAATCCTGTTGGGTATGTGAAATTATCTCTATTTTTTAGATGAAGAAGTTGAGGCTTACAGAGATAAATTATTTTTCCAGAGTTGTAATGCTAACAGCTATGAAGCTATCATTCAGTCACAGGTCTCATAATGAATCAGTTACCATGATAATCTACTGTGGGCTTCTAATAAAATTATGAGGCTTTCTCTGACTTACATCTAAGCTTTTTGAAATTAGTATAACAGGACATCATTATCTCCTCTTAGAGTGAACTTAGATGTGATGTTAGCAGCAGGATATGGAGAAGGATCCCACAGCACTATTTGTAAAAATTACACACAAATGTAATAAAAATGAATATAACTTTGCTATTATCTTTAACCTTTTGATTTGTGTAATTTCAAACATATACCAAAATAGAATGGTATATGTAAACTGGTGTTATCCATCATCCACTTTCATCAGTTATAAACTTATGGTGACCTTTATTTACCTATATCCCTCCTTTCTCCCCACAGTGTTATTTTGAAGCACATTTCAATACATAATTCTGTTTGTACATATTCCATTATTTATAATTTTATTTTTCAAAAATAACTGTTTTAATAATAATTATAACTTTGAGATACTGAAAAGATGAATATATTTCTAGACATTTCTAGTTAATATATACCAGTAGGCAGCTTTTCTTGAATTCAGAATAACCACATACAGTATGCTCCTCTTTTTTAAATTTAAATGTCTAATAATAAACAGTAAGAGAAAGTGTTTTACCTGTCCTATGCAGTCCTCTTTCATTCTTCCTTCTAAAATAAAAGATCACATTAGTTATCTTAAAAATCTAATAAAGGATCTTAACAAAAATTAACAGAACTTTTAAATATTCTTATTAAAAAGAGAAATAAAGTAACCATAACTTAAACAAATTAAGATAATGAAACTCTAGAGAACACAATAGCCAAATTTCAAAATAGTATGAAAATACTAATTAGTGTCATACGTACATGTTATGTCTAATACCTGCACTGAAATCAAATGCACAGACTATGCCTATGCTGTTCTGTTCTGAAAGGGATGGCTTTAAACTTTGCATGGCAAATAAATTTCATCTAAGAACTAATTCTGGTGATTAGTGGTGGTTACCTAGGGAACTGTGTTGACAAGTTTTACAAGGTCGCTTTTTTTTAACTCAAGGAGAAAGAATACTCATTTCATTAATGGGTTATTTGCTTTTATAGGAACACTATACTTGCTGGCCAAGGCTTAGTACATCAAAATGATGTTTTTAAAAGAGGCATCCTTACTTAAATTTATATGCCATTAGGCTGAGAGAAAAGAAATGTTATTACTGTCACAATCAAATTAGATACTCTTTACTGATGGATATTAGGTAGACATTTACACATTCTCATCCTTGAAACAATAATTGTGTGTGATTGGAGGTATTTATAAGTTCCAAGTATGTTTCTGTTATAGCATCTAATGGACCCATGTATATACTACTTATTTGGCACTACACTTATGTTAACCTTTATGTATTTCCTTTAAGATTATACATTTTCTAAAGCTTATTGGCAGTAGCTTATTCCTCCTTGTAGTCCTAGCACCAAGAAATGCCTTGATGATGATTATCTTTCTATACAAATACATGTTACTTGTCCTCATTAACTCTAAATTACTTGCTACTTTGGAGTATTTTTGTAGAGACTGGGATGTTTAGCTACATAGTTAAAACTTTATTACATTTCTAATATCGAAGGTGAAATCTGGGTTGCAATGCTTTCATAGGTTAACTGAATTTTTTTTAGACTTGCAGTTTAAAAAAAATTTTGACAGCATTTGTGTTTAGCTCAATATTTCCAAAGTATTTCAATATGTAATCAATACAAAAAATTATGAAAATGTTTTGTATTCTTCTTCTAAATCTTCAAAATCTGGTGTGTTCATTATATTACAGCACATTTTAATGACAACTAGCCACATTTCAAGTACTCACTAGCCATTATGTGGCTAGTGGCCATGCAACTGGATAGTACAAGTACAGATCTGAATTAATTTGTCACCTGAGTTAATTGATCATTTACTAGGCAAAGCAGAAGGGATCTAACCTAAGCTGGTGAAATGATTGTTTCTTTCAGACTCTGGGGAGTTTACAATTTTCCGAAAATAGGCATCATCTCCTTTGGTGTGACAACTGAATTTTTTAAAGTAAAGTTTTGGCGTTAGCCTTGGGTAGATAAAAGTTTAAATCCTACAGTAAGATGGTCAGTTATTCTCTTCTGGAAAATTTCTAGGAGTATAAAATTAACAGTCTCTCTCAGAAGTTGGTTCAACATTTTGTCTTCCCAGTAGCAATAAATTATTCTTATGACTAAACAAAACTAAATATAAACTACCTTGTTTTAATTTATGTTTTTAAAAGTCTTCCACAGACCATAAAAACAGCCCAGGCTACTTTGTGTAGTTTTCAGTAGTTAATTGTTATCCCTGTAATCTTGACATTTTTTTAGCTAAACAACTTTACTTTTCAAAACTTTAAATGGAAATAAGTTTCACCACATTAGTCATTGTCAGTCTTCCTTGAATCCAGGCCAATTTTTTCATAAAGGAAAATTAACTTCCATTTCAGAAGCGCTAAGATCTGTGATGTAGATTCTGGATGGACACCTAGAGATTGGTGTGATGAAGTGACTACTTCTGAGTCTGGTATGTTACAGTCTTTTAAAAATATATCACTTATGTTTACTTTTTTCATAAAAACCAGTGGTACTACTTTATTTAGTTTCTTGTCTATATGATAGTTCCATCTCATATTTGTCTTAGTCTAGATGATGGCCACACTATGTAAAGAGCCAGATAAATATTTAAGGCTTAGAAGGCCAAGAGGCAAAATTGAAGATATTATGTAAGACATTATATACTTATATAACAAGAGAGAAAATTTCTATGAATTTTTAATTGACATAATTAAAACTGTAATGATAATTGAGTACTATTTTAATAATTGAAATATATTTGATATATGATATTGGTTTCAGATGTACAACTCAGTGATTCAACAATTATATACACTACTAAATGCTCACCATGATAAGTATAGTTGCCATCCAGCAACATACAAAGGTATTACAATATTATTGACAATATTCCCTATGCTGTACTTTCATCCCTGTAACTTATTTTATAAATAGAAGTTTGTACCTCTTTATCTCCTTCACCTATGCTCCTTTCCCCCTTTCTATGGCTACCACCAGTCTGTTTTGTGTCTATTTCTGTTTTGTTTATTCATTCTACTTTTTAGATTCCAAATATAGGTGATATCATACAGTATTTGTCTTTCTCTGACTTTCTTAGCAAGATACCTGCTAGGTCCATCCATGTTGTTGTAAATAGCAAGATTTCCTTCTTTTTATGGCTGAGTAATATTCCATGGTGTATAAGTACTTCATTTTCCTTACCCATTCATCTATCAGTGGACTTAGGTTGCTTCGTTATCTTGACTATTGTAAATAATGACTTTTTAGATTCCAAATATAGGTGATATCATACAGTATTTGTCTTTCTCTGACTTTCTTAGCAAGATACCTGCTAGGTCCATCCATGTTGTTGTAAATAGCAAGATTTCCTTCTTTTTATGGCTGAGTAATATTCCATGGTGTATAAGTACTTCATTTTCCTTACCCATTCATCTATCAGTGGACTTAGGTTGCTTCGTTATCTTGACTATTGTAAATAATGCTGTAGTAAACATAGGGGTGCTCCTATCTTTTAGAATTAGTGATTTTGTTTTCTTTGGGTAAGTTCCTAGAAGTGAAGTTACTGGGTCATATGTTATTCTTATTTTTAGTTTTTTGAGAAAAAACTGCTTTCCATAGTGGCTGTACCACTTTACATTCCCATAATTGAATATATTAAAAAAAATTTTTGTGTGTGATACACATCTAATGGAATGGGGGATAGCATTTCATTTAATTGGTGTTCAAAGTTAGCGCGCTCTCTCACCAAACTCATCTGCAGGTGTTCATCTGTTAACGTTCATCTCTAATGAGATTTTCACTTTCAAAAATGCCCTTTCAAATGGATAAGTACTACCAAATAGTGATATTAGTCCATGTGCAGCATCTTATTTTACAGAATTTTGTTACATTCTTCTCTTGATGTATGCCTTTTATATGTCATTACATTGCAGATTTATCACTTCCAATTACAGGTGTTAGGAGGAAGCCCCCCAATTGCATAGTTAATGGATTTTGAAGTATGGAAATTTCCTTTGTATTTGCATTCAGGTCCAAAAAAACATTGCTGGAGTTAAGGAGACAAGTTGTTCCACTTTTCTGGGACTAAGCAGTTTTCCAGGATTTGGGACTTTCAAAGGGGTCAAAATGGGACAGTTCTTTACCCTAGCTGGAATTTACTTTAAGAGCAGAAAATACATCTACTTCAAATATGTGTGAGAATAAGATCTCATTTCTTGCTTTAACTTTTGACAACACAACGTGACAATTCTTGTGATTCAAACAACATTAATTAATGTGGAAATGTAAAAATGTCACACATAACTCTTCTGTCTTGCAATTTTAGATTGAATTCATTGGCAAACATTATCAAGTTTGTAGCAAAAGCTAATTTCCAGAACCCTTCAGTTTGATAATAGTTGTCAATGCTGTTTCTTCTCATTCAGAAAAATTTCAGGCTCAGCACTGAGCTAAGAGTCATGGTAAAATTTTACCACTGCCAAGTTTTTTAACTTATGCACGGTAGAGCATGTCAGGATATTCAGCTTCAATTTGACAATAATTCATGAAACTAACTGGTTAAAACCAAGAAGAGTGAAGTTCACCTTTGACACTACTGTTTCAGTAACACATGATACAGTAAAATATTTTCTTCAGGGTACCTGCTGACCAAATAATAAATAAAATGAACAACCATAAAATTAAAATATTTCAAATTTTTGTAAGATTTGTAAATTTGTCTTTTTCTCCTTCACATATATCATCATCATTAGTTGTAACACATCTTAGTAGATTCCACTTTAGATTGTACTGAATTAGTGTTATCTCAACTTCTTGGAAGATATTCTTGCTTGAAGTTTCACACAAACTATTAATGGAGGCTAATTCTTCAGAACTCCAAACTTGGCATTAACTCCTCAAACAAAAAACAGTAATTGAGCAGCATCCAAACATCTGTTGACCAAAGAAAAGACCTTGAAATTTTGCTTGTGGTTTGCTTTGTTTTTTGCTCTATTTAAAATTCAACCATTAATGTTGTTCCCAACGTCCTCAAATTTTTGAGCAACTATACTTGCCAAATGGCCAGTAGTCTTACACAGGTATTTTTATTGAAGCGTAGTTAACATATAGTCTTATATTAGTTTTAAGTATATAACACAGTGGTTCAACAGTTATCACATTATTAAATTATAACCCCCAGTAGTGAAGTTACTATCTGTTAACGTAGAAAGATGTTACAGAATCATTGGCTATATTCTCTATGCTGTATTACCATTCCTGTGACTAATTTACATTATGATTGAGAATTTTTGTGTCTTTTTATCCTTCACACCCTCCCCATCCACCCACTGCAACCCCTCCTCATGGTACCCAGCAGTCATTTCTCATTGTCTGTGATAGACAGGTGTATTTCCTCAGGATACATTTCTTCAGCTGCTATAATGAAACATGATTTAATTAACTTACCATCAGTAAATGGCTTTCCTCATTTGGTTAACAAATAAGCCACTCAGAAACTTACTTTGATTGTAGCCTCATGTTCATTTTTAATTTTTGTAGAGAAATTCTCT